AAAGCCCAAAAAAATACTTAAAAAAAAAAAAAAAAGTCTCCAAGTTCAGGGTTGTTTGAGTTTTGAATACTGTGCTTAATGTTTTATGCATGCCATTCCGATATAAACACATGGGTACAGTCCGAAAATATATGAAAAGGATTTACCTCCATTGAGCCACATTGTCTCTTTAAGTCACCTGATAAATGTAAGTCCAGAAATCACTCTTCTTTTCTGTTGGTATCTGTCTTACAGTGTGATCTCCCTCATACAGTGTGATAACTTAATATATTGTCAGCCATTAGCTTACAGTGAGTTAATCACAGTTTTTTACCTGTAAGCAGCTGCCTGCTGAGGCTGAAAAATGCATTAAAAAATTGTTTAGTCTGCAGTCTTGACACACTGTCTGCGGGTTCAGAAGTCTTTCTGTGTCCTCCAGGAAATTCCATCTGTAAGGTCTTTTCCACTGTGTTTGTCCCAATCTGAAGTCAGAATTTCTGATGTCCTTACATGGTTGGATTGCAGGTCTAATAATAAACTACCAAAATATAACAGGGAACAGGAAGCAGCAGAAAGGAAGGCTTTGTATAATAAGCAATAGCTATATGACTTCACCGAAGCATCTGGATAAAATATTTGGAGGTACGTTGTTATAGCTTGATTATCTTGGGGAAATATCACCTGTGCTACACGTTGTTTATCAGTGAGCGGATGAACGAACACAATAGGCTGAATTTCAAGAACCTAGGTGGAAGTTGTTAGTTTATGTTTGTGCTCATTACAAAAGACAAATAGGTTTTTCTGAATTTTGCTGAATTCCTTAAAAATAGAATAAAATATTTTAGATAGTTGATTTTAATTATATTTTTTTAATAATTTACATTATTTTCCTACCATACACGACCACCTGTAAGCTTGTGAAGCCCATACATACTACACAAGGTGAAAACCAGCCATACACATGACAACTGAGTGAACTCCATGCCCATATGAAGACTGTGAGGTGTTCTCTGTAAAAACATTTCTTTCACAAGACAATGCAATAAAATTTTGGTCATTACACATTGCATATCATACTTTGAATTAGGGGTGTGAGAAAATATAAATTCATATCACAATATTTAGTTTTGTGATATTGTATCTATTCTCAAAAACACTATTGATTTTTCTATTTACACCTCCAACCACAATTTCCGTTTCTCCAATACTTTGGTTTATGACTCCAATACTTGAACCAATATGACTGGTTTATACGACTGATTTGGTATTCTCGCAAGGTAAGGCTTTCGGAGGCTATTTGACCATTCGACAAACACTGTGGTAGAGGCATACAAGCATGCTTAAGGAGCAATAAAAAATAAAATCTAACACTAGATTTTAGAAATTTCAAAGAAGAATGTAAAAACATTTAAAGCTGCGTTTGGGGGCCATTTATCACTACCTAATTATTACTTGATCATTATTTATGATTATTACAAGCATATCTTGTGGTCTTTTTATTTGTAGCCTCGAAATTCGAGCTTGACACATCTCATGGCAGTGCTTCAGCATTCAGACTGTACAAGGGAGATGCAGAGGGCCTGGTGAGTGGAAGCAGACAGATCATAATGGAAGAGGATCCATGAGTAGATTAAATTGGGACAGACAGGAAAAGACATTTAAGTAAATGGAATTATTGAGAGCATAATTTCGAATGAGCAAATGCATTAAATAGAAAGGACAGGTGGGTGGTGGCAAGAGAGAGGGAGAGATTGAGATTGCCAAACAGCATCAGAGGAAGGAGGTGGTGGGTGACTGTGTCAGACTGGAGAGCCACAATATCAGAGATGGAGGGAGAACTTGGTCTGTGTCCAAGGTATCGATTTATAAATTAGCCTTAGTGTGTGCGAGAGTGGCTCTGTGGGTAAGAAAGAGGTGGGGGATGGGGTATACGAGGTACGGGACCAGAATGGTTAGTGGTCCAGAATCGAATTATGTCTGAGCTGACAAGCAGGAGTAATGATGCTGGGGCTGAATGCAGAGAGCTGCACTCCCAGTCTGATACGAGCACAAGAAGCACAATATGTCCCGGTGCTCACTGACAAAATATTTGTTCTTTTCAGTTTTGTACTGCTGACGTTTGCTTCAAAATGATTTGGTTAAGATTCAATTGGCCTTTTTGTTATTTATGGAGCCCCAAAAACCTTCAATATTTAATTGAATAAAAAATAGAAAATAAAAAAAGTAAAATATATAAATTAAATCAAATTTTAATTAGTTTTGAATTTTGAGTTTTTCTAAATGGCACTTTTACCATCATCACTGTCATAAAAAGAGACAAATGGTCACATTAAATTAAAATGTCATTAGGAAAATGCAATTAAAGCAAATTAACTTTTAACATTAATGAATGTGATTTATATTTATATCATAATTACCTGTTTCTTTAATATTGAACATTTTCTCTGTTGTTGGGCCATTGTTCAAAGATCACCTGTTACAGTAATGCTAATATTTCACATTTCTGAGTCCTTTATCTGCACATGAACGCACCACCAATTAGCAGTTGGCTAATCTTCAAACAGCATTGTCACATGGTTAAAACCACTAAATAAATGACGTCACTCAAACAAGTCTGCTAGTGGATTTTCATGTTTGCTGCAGTGAAGGAAACCAAAGTACTACACAAACAGTCTAAACAAGAAACTCAAGCAGTCATTTATATTTATAGAACAAAATTAGAAAAAACAGCAGATTGGTCCTTAAGGGGAAAACAAGAGGGAAGTGATACTGTGTGGATTAAAGTGATGTTTTTTCCTCACAGGCCTCCCAATACAATTAATACTGATCAAGATAGATACTGTATGGTATGAATTTCTTTACTTCTGCTTTGCCTAATTTATATTCCAATTCTCAGATCAGCTGCAGCAGTATCATGTTCTTCACTCCAGTCCCATCTTTCCACCCAGCTTTTAGCCTGCTTGGCTCATCACACACTAGACCTTTGACCTGGACTTTTATTAGCCTATTTTTCACTATCTTTTCTCAGCTGTTCTACTAAACAGGCCAATGCACAGTTGGGGTTTATGACCGCACATCTCCTGAAATCAACAGAACTAAGAGCAAGATGCAAAGCAGATAAATGGCTGTTTTTACAAAGACAGTTCAGCACATTCACACAACTTGCTGCACACCCTCCGTCCTCCATAAAGTCGAATATTACCCTGCACGCATCTGACAGCATAACACAGGAAACAGCCTGAGGTGAGACAAGTGCGCCTGAGCACAGAGAACCCAAATACATGACGGGTTAAATTAAGAAGAAAGCGTTTTGTGTAAGAAAACACGAAACAGCATCCTGTGAGCATAACTGGAACATGACTCACTTTATTCTACTGGCATAAAAGCAAGATTGTGCCTTCTGCTGTCCAGCAGATGGTATTACAAGCAAGCAGGCATTAAAATGAGGTGGAGGATACTTGAAACGCTTCAAAACCACAGTGGGTTTTAAAGCCTCTCAGTGGTTTCCATTTTTCTAATGACTGTTTACATTAAGTTGTTTGTCTCACTCAAGCAGAGCGTCTCTGAAAGTATTACGCTGGCGAGTATGCCCACTGTCCCTGCGGCGCTCCTGCCAGCCCTCTTATTTCTACCTGTTATGTACACGTGTTGCCATGGATATTAACCAGTCCATCTGTCTGTCTGTCCAGGTGTCCACATCCTGATTGCTGTCGGGGCAGTGATGATGGTGGTTGGTTTCCTCGGTTGCTATGGCGCCATCCAGGAGTCCCAGTGTCTACTGGGAACTGTGAGTCACAGTCACGTTTAATGGTTCTGTGTGGAGTTTTAGACCTCTAGTAGCACCACAGAGCTGTTTTTTTTTTTTGAGTGGGTCCTCGTACTGTTGCCTGTACTCTTGCATGAGGACGCACGTGTGTGCGCTAGAGCTGCAACGATTATTTATTATGAAAAAAAGTTCAAATTCTCTGATTTCAGCTTCTCAAATGTGAATATTTACTGGGTTTTTATCCTATAGGACAGTAAACTGAATATGTTTGAGTTGTTGACAAAAGAAGACATTTGAGAACGTGATTTTAGACTTTCAGAAGCAGTGATGAAGATTTTTCATTATCTTCTGACATTTTACTGGACCAAAGTATAAATCAATTCATCCAGAAAATGATTGTCAGATTAATCGATAATACGTTATTTATGAGGAAGGAAATGCACTTGACACGTTTTGGTAAGTGACACCACTACAACATAAGTTTTTTGTGTTTACAATAAAACTCCACAGGGCACCTTTAACTTTATAAACCTCATATTGTCTCATAGACACAGCTAAATCCTTAAACCAGTTCTCTGATATCTCTGCTCTGTCCTGCAGTTCTTCGCCTGCCTGGTCATCCTGTTCGCCTGCGAAGTTGCAGCTGGAATCTGGGGCTTCATGCACAAAGACACTGTAAGACTGCAAACCTACACTAGAGGCTGAAATAGGAATGCAACACTGAGCCTAAAAGTACAGTAAATACCTCTATAGAGCAATTTAAAATATTCTGAAACAAATCTCAAGCCTCAGAAAGTCAGGACCTTTGTTTGTTTCTAGAATTTTCAGATATTTGGTTTATTATGCCTGAATTCTCTCTTTAGTCTTGCAGGTTCCCTCACCGGGTGTCTAAAACTAAGTGCAAAAACTGCAGTCAAAGTGTGTCGTGATAATTAACACAATATCAATACTACCTTAATCTAACCTCATGTGTTACCATTACAGAGCCTGTTTTTTCTGACAAATAATTACCCACTGGTCTTATTTGACAGCGCATACCGCTCTGAAGGTATTACCAGAACCCTCAAAAGACTACTATTCTATTATAACTATTCTATCCGCTGCACAATATATTTTCTTCCCATTTCCCACATTGTAGCTGGAAATTAAACTGTAATTTGTATGACTTAATTATTTTATATTTTCATAGAAAAGTGTCAATAGTTTTTCAGAAGACCGTCGCTGATTTATTTCTTGAAAAAACTTGCTGTGACTGGACAGTCAAGACTCTGAGTCATCCCACATCGCTACCATGTTGCGTTTAAGACTCATGGATCTGTTACTCATACCAGCTTCCCTGAATCAACACGCCCACATCAACCCTTTTTTTAGTTTTCAAGGCACTGTTACTTTGTATTTAATGTCCTTTAATATATATTGTATCTCATCTCTGTCTTGCCTTTATTTTCCTGAGCAAGCACAAAAACAGTTTACTAAAGGTTCAACTTATAGAGTGTGAAAGTTTCAAGTTTGCCGAGCCCACAGAAACCCGTTTGTTGCTGTTTCAGGTGTCGAAGGAGATGGTCAACTTCTACGACAATGTGTACGACCAGGCCATGACAGCAAGCGTCACCGAACCAGACAAACAAAAGGCTGCCGTCCCTGTGCTCAGGGTCTTCCATGAGACGGTAGGAACATACGCTATGAAATATATCATTTATATTCATAGGTTCAATTAGATATTTTAACATAAGGTAAAACCACCCCACTTACTAAACACCACACCTATTTAAGTACAGTCCTTCTTAACTTTTTTTCTTGTGTTTTTAATGTATGTATTCATTCTAGTTTATTTATTTATTTTTATTTACCCTTTATTTAACCAGGAAGTCCCTTGAGATTTAAATCTCTTTTCCGAGGGAGACCCGGCCAAGACAGCACACTAGTTACAACGTGAATAGAAATAAAAACACAGTTGACAGAAAACAAACATCACACACACATTGAAATTACTAAAACCAGCTCGAATGAGGCATTTGCATTTATCAGTTATATTGAGTTTTAACATGGCCTTAAATTATTCCAGTGGGACTAGATCATTAAGATGGAGCAGGTTTTGCCACCAGTATCGATGTATAACACAGGGCTGTACGCTAAGGGGCGCTGTTATTATTTCTGGAAATCCTATGTGTCTCTTAAAACATTTCAAGTTCACACATAGCATGAATACAACACTGAAACTGAAGAATGTTTAATCATCATAGGGTGTATTTATTCTTTTTAGGCTTTGAATTGAGGTTGTGAATTTTAGCATTTTATCCAATCCAAATTCATTATCGAATCTGCTAATCAGAATCATTTTAGACCTCTTAGTGAACCTATTTAGTAACTTTCAAAAGTTAAATGCTAAAGTTATCAGAAGTTTTAGGTGGCAGCCTTATTGATGCTTACAAGCAGCCGCCACCTGAATATAATTTTATACACAGCAGCAGGAGATGGCAAAAAAAATGAATGGATCAGCCAATCAGATTAAAGAGTTGTCAGTGGCCATAGTGTAGAACTGCCGAGTGGGAAGAGCTATTCGTGGTGCCCCTGGTGTCCCATTCATCTTCTCCATAGACAGCGTTAGGTTAGATGAACAGCTGGGTTAGAAAATATCTTGAGTCTTTGCTAAAAGGTCAAATGCCTGTGTACATAAAAATGGTAGGAAGTTAACCATGAATCCCAAGGTGCATTACAGTAAGGTACCTTCACTTTTTTAGAATAATTTGGCAACTGGGGCATCGCCTTTAATATGTTTGAGTTCTAATTTGTGCCTCTGATTTGCTTCTTTGTCCTAGTTCGAGATTTAATCCAATATAACTGAACTCATGAAAACCGATGGCATTGTAGCATTGTTACATCATATGGTAGACTCACAAATCGGACAATATGAAGTATGGAAAGTTTACATGCGTGTACAGCACATGAGTGTTAAAGTTAACAAACTGCCTGCTGTCAGCAAAAGCCCACGAAGAGGACGTTGACAGACCTGGGTACTGTGCAGTGAACAAGGCTAATAACTGTGTCTTTTGTGTTTCAGCTGAAGTGCTGTGGTAAAGGCCAGGGGACCTCTTTTCTGACCCAACTTACAGATGTACTCGGAATGACCAAGCTCTGCTCCAATGCTGATGCCACAGTTGTAAGTGCGATCATTCATCTCTACTGTTTTATGACCACTGTCGTGCATACACACACTGTAAGGTTGTGTTCACACTGGAGCTGGATGGAAGCAACACTTTTTCTTTTTATGTTAATTTGAGTAGGTCACATTTAGTGAAGGAATTATGTGATTTTGTTTTTCAGTCGATACAAGAACCAGTAATTACCCGCTTCTCATAGCTGATACCGATAAAACCATAATTTCACATTTTTGTATTTTAAAAAGAAGTTCATAACTGTAGTTTATGCACACCTGAGAGTAAGAAAGGCTGAGATACAGTGAGCAAAGATGGTTGATGTAATATTCCATATCAAATCTAACTGACATCACTGTTAGCAACAACAACAACTTCTGACTCTTCAAATATAAAAGTATTGTTCAAACATACTTTGGCTTTCATGGAAAATAAAGCTTATCAATAGTTTTGCAAAAGAGTCGAAAATAAATTACTATGGACCGATCATTAATCGACTGTAATTTCTAATAATATTTTCCCATTATTGACAGATCAGTTTTCGGCCCTGAGAATCATTGAGCACACCTAGTTACATTTCAGATCAAATATTAAAGATAAAACCTTAATATGTATCATTATTCAGGAGGTTGTACTACCACCTCATCAGTCTAATGTCTCTCTACCTTTCCATTGGGATCCCTTGGAGTTGCCTGATATGCAGACAGGAGAGGAATGGAAATGTTCATATTTTACATATTTAGAATTAATAAATGTACACCATACCCGTATACACATGACACTTTGACATTTAGATTCTCAGAAGAACTGACCTTCCACACGGCAGACATCTTGTATCAATCATCTCATTAGTCCTGTTTGGTCAAAGTCAAAATGTCTGCTATGAGGAGGGTGAATGGGGTCAGGTGCTGGAAAAGGTTGAGAAACATGAATGGAGTATATCATTCCAACAACATTTGTGAGGGCTGGAGCCAGAAGTCTGAGTGTAAAATCTTAGTTGAAACATGAGGGGAAAGTTGTCTGCATTCAGAGTTGTGCTGCTCAGGGGCCTTAACTTGATGTCTTGGCAGCACATTTGCATTACTGAAATGACCTGGGTCCAATCTAACCCTGCAAGGTTCTTGTGTTCACTTCTGTAGAACTGATATTTTCCAGTGTATCTGGCCAATATTTTATAAAAGAAGCACCATTCTTTACTTCCAAAGAAATCAGGTGGTTTAAAAAAAAGCTGGTTTATTTTTAAGAAAAAGGTTACATAATGTGACTGTGGGTGTAATCATAATAGACTACTATCATTCTTGTATTAATGCCAGTTATGTTCTGGAATAATAATTAATGTACCAATAATAACCTTTTCTGTCATAAGACTGATTGAACTATAAGCATTCAATAGTCTTGAGTTGACCATTTACTAAACACCTCACCTGAACATCGATTGTCCAATTATAGGTTAGCAATCGTAAGTCAGCTTTGCAGGCTTGTCAAGCTTTGTGTTCCCCTGCACGTCATCAGTGTGCATGGGGCTGTAGTACAAATGATACTGAATATGTAAAGAGTTCAGGTAGTGGTTTCTTTTACTCTTTCCAAAACCAAAAATACTAAAGTGTAAGGAATGGACAAAAACCTAACCTAACCCTGACCTAAACAGGGGTTAGCACCTCTTCTTTTCTTTTTCCTTGTACTGATAAAGCAATATTATTACTACTTATCAGTATAGCATTAAACAAACAGACACAAAATGAGCTTTGGAGGTTTTCTGGTTAGAAAAGCCCCAACGTCGCTTACGTACTATCTCTACTGTATTTTTGTATTGAGTTGATATTAAGATGGATCTTGTGGTTAGTCTGGAGTGAGTGGCAGTTTGGGGCTGGTCAGGGCACCTCACTGATGGTCCATTAAGTGCGAACACAAAGATGCACTCCAACGCTAATGATCCTTGGCCTCTACAGTAGCATGGTGCGATATCCAGAGAAGGAGGGAGTCTCATTCTACAGGTTAGGATAGTTTGAGAAGAATACTGAGACACACTACCCTACAAGAGACCTGAGCTCAACTGGAAGTGGAATCATGGCTCTCTGCTTTCATGTGTCTGGTCCGGTCAGTGCAGTGTCGGCTAGCTTCCCTCCTGTCAGTCTTCTTACCAAGACTTTGAAGTAGTAAATCTGCCTGTGTTACTATTGTACACTGCATATGTAATGTGTGAGAACAGAAAACCTGAAAGGTGTAGCAGCAGTAGGTAAGGGGATGGTAAAATGTGGCACTGTGTTTTGAATCAGATATTAATTCTATGTGTGGATTGTTTTCCTTTGCAGAGTTGCCACCGAAGGATCAATGAATTGTTTTCAGATAAGATTTACCTGATTGGCATCGCCGCGCTGGTGGTTGCAGTTATTATGGTGAGAACATGGAAACTACACAAACATCAAACCTTTCATAACACGTTGTACGTCTTCCTTGAATTCAGAAGGTGCAGGCTATAACATGGGCATATTGCACTCAGTAAATGTAGCTACATGCAGAAAGTGACAGCTGTTGCCATGACGACATTTAATCCTAAATCCATTTTATTTTCATTACCACCATATGGTTATGTAGTCATGGCAGTGGGTGTCTGTGTGTAGGTTCGGGGTTCTCATTTGCTGTCTTCATGCAGTTATAAATAGAACCTTTAAATCCGATAATATGTTTAAATTAAATTCTGGTACCTAAAAGTATAATTAATGATTTTCTCTCACAATGCAAGAAAGTAATGTTACCATCATTGCATTTTATAAAAGAAAAGAGCTGACCAACAGATATTTCAATACTGCCAGGCATAAATGTGGGATCTTAAACAGGAGTAGACAGCTTATATATTATCTTCATTTATTAAATCATTTCGGCTGTCTGAGCTGAAATGTGACTACCGCTCGAAGCAGGACAGAAAGCTTGCTCATGTTTGTACCTCTTCTATTATTTTTATCAGAATCTTCTTAATTTAAATAAATGAATAAATGCAATTTAGTACTTTATTGCCAACTTAAAGCAGCTGCAAGGAACTTTGATTTTGTGTTTTTGTGTTTCAAGGGAAATCTGACAGAATCCAACCCAGTGCCAGGCATTCTATAGAAAACTATATAGAAATAGCCAATCTTCTCTCTGATGGTCTTATGTATTTATGTAGTAGTACTATAGAGGCATCAGTGTGATTAGTTAAAACTCCTCGTAGTACATTTAAGTAGGCTTGTATGGCTGCATGTGTTTAGACAACATTTAACAATCAAAGTTTTGTATTAGCCCCTCACTCAGATCACTTACACAACTCGACTCAACTGTATGATACCTCAAGTGTGTTTACCAGATGGAAAGTGGAACGGACTTACAGTGATCTTTCCGGCATTGAGTCTATTTTTTCCAGAGCTGCTAGTAAAATTCTACATGCATACAGCATCACAATACTTGTTGCTGTGATTGTGCCACATGCACAGTGATGTTTATTGTGTGTGCGACAAACACTTTAACTTTCTAAAAGATTAATTTCCTTTGATTTGAAATGTTACTAATGGGCTGTGGCCAAATTAATATAGTCAGTGTTAGAAAGAGCGGGAACCCTTAGTGAGCATTTCCAGTCGCAGTGTAAGAATATGAAATAACACTTTGTCTTTGTGCCCTTCCTCCCAGATCTTCGAGATGATCTTTAGCATGGTGCTGTGCTGCGGCATCCGCAACAGCCCAGTGTACTAAAGCGTCCGGCTCCCAGCCTCCTCGCCATGAAGGAAAGACGACCTTGCAGTCCCCGCCTCATTCTTTTTATTTCCTTTTATAAGCAGGAAACGTCACATATATTGCTTGCTGGATTTAGTCAGCTCTCTGAGAAGAAAACCACCCTCCATTGAGCATTTTAATTACACTGTCAATGAATTTGTTGTTAGTCACAGATGCTTTTATGCATATTTAACCACAGCTATCCTAACCTGATATGTAGATATTATACCACAGTGTCACACATGAGAGCCAGTCCCAGTGCTCTAATCCTTTAGTGATTTATTAGTTGTTTACTGCTTCCTTACCTATGAACATGCTATTATATTCTTTGTTTTATGAATGTTTTTCCACTGTTTTATGTATAAACTGTATATAAATATATATATTAACAGTGCTTTATGACTGCCTGAGCATGGATATTGTATTACAGTAGATCCTTCTCCTGTATTCTTCCTGCACTCTGCTTGTTTGTCTCGCCCTAGACTGAACCAGACGATAGTGCATATGACCGCCACTAGTGTTGTGCCTCACCACGCCACTTAGAGGTGAACACACCTCTAGGAAAACACACAACAGACCGTTGTCTTGGTTCACATCTACAGCGCTGTGTGATGTCTACAGGAACTGACTAAAGAAGGAATCTCAGTTATTCATGGAAGCTGGAACTAAAGTCAGAGTGACCTGATGTCTGTCATTTTGGCTCAGTCAGGTTACTTGTTGATTTGTCTGTGGCTGTTTGTTGTTCATCACGTCCAAAACTGTCTGAGTGCTCAGTTGCATGAAACATAACAGTATTTTCCTTAGATAGAAAGTTGCATAAAGTTGAATTAAGTCTTGAACTTGCAAACTATACTTTTTATATTTTTTTATTAACACAGATATCTCTTGTTTGGCCTAGCCTACTTCCAAACTTGTGAATCACTACCTACATCTTAAATTTTGCAAAGGTTTAAATAGCCTGGTAAAGAAATATTCTAATAACCACCAACAAAAGAAAATAAAAAAGATTAAAATAAATCTAAAAGACAACATTTTCAAAAAGTTTTATACAACTGTGCACTCATTTGTGGATGCAACTTGCTTAACACTATAACCATCTTTCCCAAACCAGAGGAATTGAAATATGACCTACAGCCTTTACCCTATAAGCAAGTCAGCTCATATCTTCTGTGACTGACACCCCTGTTGCGTCTGTGTATTGGTTGTATGCTGACCGTCCACACATGAGCCAACTGTCCCTGGTTGCTCAGCCCTGTCGGAAACTGACTGACTTGTAGAGGAAAGACATGAAACTCTGTAGCCAGTGCAACAGTAGAAAGAGCCTTGGTTTTGGTGTTCTGAATCTGGGGTGCCTTGTCTGGTTGAGTCTAGTTCCGTTTCATCTGGCTTAGTTGTGTCATTGTCCCACCGGCTTCGCAGCCCATTAACCTTCCTCATTGTCACCATTCATGTCATAGGTGTTCCCAGGGCAAGAACAGGAGAAAAACAGCCCACCCAGTGGTTTGCACTAAGCGTTTTGCCCTCCTGCTTAGGAACAGTTTGAGCTAGTGTATTTGTGTTCACATACAGATCAAGGCGAACACCAGTTGCAATTGAGCCTAAGCCCCGCCCCTTTTGGAACCTCCTTTCCTGTACTGAGATATGCTACGTGCTAGCCTTGTCTGTGTTGAAACATTGTGAAGATGGTTAAAAGATAAAAGTGACATTTAGGCATCTCAAGTTAGCAGATGTTAGCCAAATGCTAGCTAACAAGTTGGGTAATCTACATCACTCGAACTTACATCCAGTGTTAGCAAAACGCAAGTTAACAAGCTAACCAATTTACATCAATTGTTAGTTAGCTAGCATTACGCTAACATTTGCTCATTTGAAATGGGGCTTTGTGTCGCTTTCATCATGAAGCTTTTTAAAAATGTGGTTGTCTTTTCAACATAGACAAGCCTAGCACATAGCATATCTCAGTCCAGGAAAGGAGGAAGTTGACCAAGGCTTGTTCAACTGGTATTGGAGAACGGAGCAAAAAGGGGCGGGACTTACTAAGGGTCAATCGCATCAAACTGCGAGTTTGCTGGAACTGTTTTTCTCAGGGCGCAGTGACTTCTGGAGTCTTGTCACTGCGAAGGTTGCCAGATATCCAGGGGACACTCCTGTTAGCCGCTGCACCCAGCCAAGAAATAGTTCCGGCTTGTAGCACTCCCATGTTATTACGTTGGTCAGTTCCTCAGATTGATGTTTTTCAGGGCTGTTGTGTTGGGGTTTGTATTAGATTACACAAGTGTTTATAATTTTGCGTCTGCTCTCTTTAAGTCTGTTTTTTTTTTAACCGCCTCAGGCTGATTGCAGTATAATAGTTGTAGTAGTACACAGCAGCGCACTCACAACAGCTACAGTGTTGGCCACAAATCAGCCTTACCTGCCTGCTGAAGTTCAGCCAATCAGAAAGCTTCCACCTGGCAACTGAACATGCTGTTTATTTAGTCCAGTGGTGTTTTTACTCCACCACACAGGCTTGAAAATATTTGTCCTGAGGTCTGTTCCTACTAGATCGCGTAACTGCACAGCACTGCAGCATCATAACCACTGACATTCAATCATATCATCTCGTGTAAGCTTTTGTCACACAACTAAACTCTTGTCTTGGTAACATCTCATGCTTAAACTGAGAAACAGTAAAAGTGTCTTGTAATATTTACAGCTCTGAAGTATTGTACTAATGAAAATCATGAAGGCTGTAGAAAGACAATGTATGCCTTTTTTTCTCTCTCCTCGTATTGTGATATCTTTGTCTGGTACGTCGTCAAAAGGAGTCTGGACGGAAAGGGTGGAAGATTTTGTGGCAGTGCCGACTGAGGAAGTCAAACCTTAAATACATCTGTTAGTTCCTTCCCACAAACATTAAGGAAAATATGACCATGCCCGTCAGTCCAGTACTCAGTCAGTCCAATGATGAGGGCATGTTGTCCATGTTGCTGCTTTTTGAATTTGGTAACTGACCCTCAGGACCCACTGCCACGTAAATCTCAACCCCTCTCTACGTTTGTAGACTTTGGTTTGCCCAAATATAAAGGGATTAAATGTATTTTACAAAAACAAGTGGTCTTCTAATATGTATGATTAAAAGGATTAAATAAAAAAAGCTACTGGAAGGCTGAAGATCAACTGACTAGATGATGATTTTCACTAGAAAGGAATTATTTAAAGCCCCCCTCCAGTTAAAAATCAGTGTTTCTTCTTGTTCCCACAGTGTGCTGTTTGAATGTCTGCAGAGTTTGAATATAGGAGGTTGGCTTCACATTCATCTGCTGATCTGATTTTAAGGGGCTACGAGTATGATTTTAATGTGAAAAATGTACGTTTTTTTTGCAGATAAAATATACTATATAATATTTGTATCTGTCGAAATACATGTCTGGAGGAGCTCTTCAATATTTTGTTAGTTTTAAATGCAACCCTAAAAATACACAGATCTCCTGGATACCCAGTCCAACAGACTGCTTATAAACATTACAGTTTGGATATAAAAGTCAAAACTAAACTGACTGAAGTTAAATTATAGTATTTTATTATCCATAAATGAAATTCAAAGTGGACTGCTAAAACATGCTCAGTCTGAGGCAAAAAGTCAGACTATGTCTCACTCTGTTTTACACTAAGAAACTGATTTATGCTTTGGTTTTCTTTATCTTGACTATTGCACTGCTATTTTATCTCAATTATCCTCCTCAAAACCTCAGTGAATAGACTTTAGCTTACACAAAATGCAGCTGCCACAAACTAGTGAAAAGAAGCACATCACACCCACTTTGGTGCCTGCATTGGCTTCCTGTCTCTTAGAATTGATTCTCTATACCCAGTCCACTGCTGTCTCCGCTTATTGAACACTACAGAGTTACATGTGCCAGCAGGTAAGACAGAAGTACAGAGGCAGCCTTTTTGTTTTTACAGGTTTTACATTGATTCAGATTGGTTTTATTCTACCCTCGTGTTGAATTTCAATGTCTCTGTTTTGCTACCTTTCATCAAAATGTTTTTTTTTAAGGACCAGTGTGTAGGATGTAGTGGCATTGTGTGGATTGCAGCTCCCTCACTTCACCTTCCCCTCCCAAGTGTGAAAGGACAAAATACAATCGCTGGAAAACACACACGCACACAAAAAAGTCCTTCTTTAGATTCAATATTGGTTTGTCCATTCTGGGCTACTGTAGAAACATGGCAGTTGAACATGGTGGACCTACTCCGTCTGTAGATAAAAGCAGCTCATTTTTAAGGTAACAAAAACACAAAGATTCTTAAATTCAGGTGATTATACACTAATGGAAACATATATATGATTATAATATTACATTTCTGACAATAGATCCTCCTAAATGTTAAAACTTGAGCTTTAAAGAAGTGTTTAATAAAATCTACAAATGCATCCTGTAGATGTCATTTTTAGATTAATTTTGTAACAAAGTCATCAAAGTAAAACATGATTTTGAATATGTTCCTTAAAACTATACGTTTTTTTTACCTGTTCAGACTTTATATAGTTTGCTGAAGATGGCGTCTCCTCGTGCATTGAGCTGTTGTTGTCATTATCCTGCGCTGTGATTGGCTCAACAGCTTCAGTGCTAACGAGCTAAGAGGATAACGATTCACGAGTTTCCACCATTCAAATACCAGCTTCAAATGTTCCATTTCGTTCAGGATCAATCGGCACTGATCACACAGAGAGACCAGAGTCGGGAATCGGACCGATAATGAACCAATCAGAGGGAGCGCTCGAGCTCTGGGTGCGTTCAGGTTCAATCTGTGGATTAGGGAGACGAGTCACAAGCAGTTTTTTTGGATTCGGTACAAATATTTCTCGCCGTTAAAGAGTTTTAAATTGTGGTCTTTTTACCTTATCTTCTGTAGCAAATAGAGAGCTAAAGATGTGTTTTCATTGTGTGTGTGTGTGTGTGTGTGTTTGTGTGTGTGAACCGGTCCTTACTTAGTGCCGCTGTTATATTTTAATTAAAGCCGAACGGCGGCCTTAATTACTGCCATGATAAACAACACCTCTCTCTCTCTCTTTCTCT